GGGTATTACCCACCCACCCAAAGCTCGTATTCGGTCTTCGCTCATGTTCCCAGCATTCCTGTAAAATCCCTTTTGCAGGATGAGCCACCCCATGTCCTTGTAGGTTGACCCAATAATTCATTGCCAGCTGCTGTCTCCTAATCTGCAACGGCATATCCCCCATCTCCACCTGTAATGCAGCCACTGGGGACGTCCGAAACGCCCCACTACATATTCTGAGTCCTTGCCCCTGTATGACATCTAGCCTTTCCAGTGAGGTCTGGGCTGCCGAACCATAAGCTATATTTCCATAGTCTATTACAGATCGGATCAATGCAACATACTGTGGGGGAAAAAAGTATTTAGTCAGCCACCAATTGTGCAAGTTCTCCCACTGTAATTTTCATCATAGGTACACGTCAACTATGACAGACAAACTGAGAATTTTTTTCTCCAGAAAATCACATTGTAGGATTTTTTTATGAATTTATTTGCAGATTATGGTGGAAAATAAGTATTTGGTCACCTACAAACAAGCAAGATTTCTGGCTCTCACAGACCTGTAACTTCTTCTTTAAGAGGCTCCTCTGTCCTCCACTCGTTACCTGTATTAATGGCACCTGTTTGAACTTGTTATCAGTATAAAAGACACCTGTCCACAACCTCAAACAGTCACACTCCAAACTCCACTATGGCCAAGACCAAAGAGCTGTCAAAGGAATTGTAGACCTGCACCAGGCTGGGAAGACTGAATCTGCAATAGGTAAGCAGCTTGGTTTGAAGAAATCAACTGTGGGAGCAATTATTAGGAAATGGAAGACATACAAGACCACTGATAATGTCCCTTGATCTGGGGCTCCACGCAAGATCTCACCCCGTGGGGTCAAAATGATCACAAGAACGGTGAGCAAAAATCCCAGAACCACACAGGGGGACCTAGTGAATGACATGCAGAGAGCTGGGACCAAAGTAACAAAGCCTACCATCAGTAACACACTACGCCGCCAGGGACTCAAATCCTGCAGTGCCAGACGTGTCCCCCTGCTTAAGTCAGTACATGTCCAGGCCCGTCTGAAGTTTGCTAGAGTGCATTTGGATGATCCAGAAGAGGATTGGGAGAATGTCATATGGTCAGATGAAACCAAAATAGAACTTTTTGGTAAAAACCCAACTCGTTGTGTTTGGAGGACAAAGAATGCTGAGTTGCATCCAAAGAACACCATACCTACTGTGAAGCATGGGTGTGGAAACATCATGCTTTGGGGCTGTTTTTCTGCAAAGGGACCAGGACGACTGATCCGTGTAAAGGAAAGAATGAATGGGGCCATGTATCGGAGATTTTGAGTGAAAACCTCCTTCCATCAGCAAGGGCATTGAAGATGAAACGTAGCTGGGTCTTTCAGCATGACAATGATCCCAAACACACCGCCCGGGCAACGAAGGAGTGGCTTCGTAAGAAGCATTTCAAGGTCCTGGAGTGGCCTAGCCAGTCTCCAGATCTCAACCCCATAGAAAATCTTTGGAGGGAGTTGAAAGTCTGTGTTGCCCAGCGACAGCCCCAAAATATCACTGCTCTAGAGGAGATCTGCATGGAGGAATGGGCCAAAATACCAGCAACAGTGTGTGAAAACCTTGAGTAGACTTACAGAAAACGTTTGACCTGTGTCATTGCCAACAAAGGGTATATCACAAAAGTATTGAGAAACTTTTGTTATTGACCAAATCCTTATTTTCCACCATAATTTGCAAATAAATTCATAAAAAATCCTACAATGTGATTTTCTGGAGAGAAAAAAATCTCATTTTGTCTGTCATAGTTGACGTGTACCTATGATGAAAATTACAGGCCTCTCTCATCTTTTTAAGTGGGAGAACTTGCACAATTGGTGGCTGACTAAATAATTTTTTCCCCCACTGTACATGGTCTTCAATGAGGAACGCCCAGCCCCCCACTCCTTCCCCGTCAGACAGCACATCACATTTAGCACTTTCCCACCACTCTCTCAATGTGTTCTGCCCAGGTCAGTCTAGTATCAAAGTATACCCCAAGGAACCTGAAGGCCCCCTCCCTCTCCAAGTTTCTCCCATATAACCTCAAGCATACCTCATCTCCCACCTTCCTCCTGGTAAAGAACACTGTTTGAGTTCTCTACAGAGAACCTGAATCCCCACATTAATGCCCATTCAATCACCCACGTGGGTCTATGCTCCTAAAAACCAATGAGGAGATGGGAGAACCAAGTTCTATTTTTGCGTCTGGTTACGCAGACGCTCGCGAGCAGTGTGGGTACAATAATTGAATAACATGTATGTGTACATTTATTTTGCAACGCTCGCTGTGGTCAGCATGTTAGGATGAAAGTGTCTGCTATGTGGTATATATTATAGATGATCCAAGGCAAACATACTGTACATACACATGTGCCCTGTGTAACCCTCAACATCATTCAGACAGCACAGGCAAACTACAATTACAAGGGGCATGCAAACTACAAGGGGCATGCAGGGGCCTGTTGCTGAAGGAAGAAGAAATATTGAGTTAATATTTTATTGTGCAACATTCCCCACGATTCAGTTCGCCTATATTCAGTTTATTTATTTGTAATGGTTTGAATTGCTTAATTTTTATTTTACCTTTATTTAACTAGGCAAGTCAGTTCAGAGCATATTCTTATTTACAATGATGGCCTACCCCGGTCAAACCCGGACGACGCTGGGCCAATTGTGCGCCGCCCTATGAGACTCCCAATCACGGCCGGATTGTGATGCAGCCTGGAATCGAACCAGGGTCTGTAGTGACGCCTCTAGCACTGAGATGCAGTGCCACTCGGGATCCAAAATAACGGTGACATACTGTAAGACTATCAAAATCTAAAGGGGGAATTGTGCACTCATGTTTGGGTGATTTTGCCAGTAAATAGAAACAAACACAAACGATAAAAAATACTCTTAAAGAAAAGACCATGTTTACGTGACTACTTGACTAAGCAAACATTGTATTAATTCTGAGAGCTCTTTTGAAAGTGTGTAAACATGTAAATATCCATTTGGTTGTAACCATCGCCATCTGGTGATCTTGGTGTGTAACACGTAAACAGCGTGTATCAATTCCAGTTACTGTATGGAGGAGACAAGTATCTCACTCAGATTATAAACACACAAATGTTTTGACAGTTTTCTATAAATAAATAAATAATGTTGAACAAAACTAAACAAAGAGCTCAACAGACCAATCATTCTGGATCCATGATTAACATAAAATAAACCATTATCAAGTCAGTGCTTTTAATTCAAAAGTTTAATTTTGAGAGGAACATTGGCTGAAATAACAGAAAAAGCCCTTTAGAATACAATTTGAAAACAACCTCCACAATGCATTGTTTTTCTCTCCAATGACCACCGATCTACAGTATGTCTAAGTTGCTGTGATGAAGGGAAACACACTTTAAAATACAAAATATGCAGTGACTTCACTTCTCTGCTCTAGTGAATGAGAATACTGTATGTCCAAGTGGACTATAGGAATATAATACATGTGTTAGTCAGTGTTAAGTGATCAGTGTGGTCACATTTCATGCTCAGTGTTAGTTAATTGCATTTTTTGTGCAAGTATTGCAGGGGTAGGTGTAACAAAGTGGATCAACATGAACTTTCACATTTAACTTGCATATCAAATAACTAAACCTATAAACACACACACACACACGTCTCAATCTGAAACCACAGTCTGAATTCCTCCCATTCAGACCACCTGGTTCAGTGTGCCTTCTCACATCACCATGTTAGATTAGTCAAACCGCACAAAGAACAGGAAGGTTCAAAAGAACAAGGGGCTAGATTGGTCTAGGGTTCGCTGCTCAAAAGCAAGGAAGGGATTAGAGTCATGCATCTAATCTCTTATGTGGATTAAGGAATAGTAATTTGTGCTGGTACTCCTGTCTGGACAAAGTGGCAACTCGAGGAGGAAGGACTCTTTGGACATGGCATGAGGCAACCACATGCAATGCATGATACTGCTAACATGTCTCGGGTATATAGAAGTATTATAAAAGCGTACATGACTCATGAGAAACACTGCTTAAGTAAGAAAGTAAAAAAAACATTGTGTGGGGTGAAGCATTTCTGAGGTATGCTGTAGTAGTGTCTTGAGTCATTGGTGTTGAATGAATGGTTGGTTTTGAACCATTATACAGCAGTTAGGATTTTCAAGATGTCCTTGTCTGCCAGTGCAGTTCAGTCATATTCATGTAGTGGTTACTAGTTACTCTATTGTCCTTGGGTCTAGGGTTAAGTACGAGAGCTACTCTTCAAATAGCCACCCTTTGACTTGATGACAGCTTTGCACACTCTTGGCATTCTCTCAACCAGCTTCACCCGGAATGCATTTCCAACAGTCTTGAAGGAGTTCCCACATATGCTGAGCACTTGTTGGCTGCTTTTCCTTCACTCTGCCATCCGACTCATCCCAAACCATCTCAATTGGTTTGAAGTCGGGGGATTGTGGAGGCCAGGTCATCTGATGCAGCACTCCATCACTCTCCTTCTTGGTAAAATCGCCCTTACACAGCCTGGAGGTGTGTTGGGTCATTGTCCTGTTGAAAAACAAATGATAGTCCCACTAAGCCCAAATGGGATGGCATATCGCTGCAGAATGGTTGAGAGAATGCCAAAAGTGTGCAAAGCTATCATCAAGGCAAATAACACTTTTTTGGCTACTACATGATTACATGTGTTATTTCATAGTTTTGATGTCTTCACTATTTTTCTACAATGTAAAAACTAGTAAAAATTAAGAAAAACCCTTGAATGAGTAGGTGTGTCCAAACTTTTGACTGGTAGTGTAACTGTTCACATCACATTCACCCCCTCACTGCATCTCACAAAGCAGGTAGCACCCTCTGCTGATAGGAAGCAGTAATGTGTCACTGGCAGAGCTTAGAGCTGTGGAAGACGGCAAGGCACAGGCTCATTCCCTAAGGGGGAGTTTGTTTGAGTCAGTGCAGCGCGGCAAAGCTTTCTCTTCATCTGTGGTCCTCTGCCCCTGTACCATGACTAGGCCCCAGGCCTGGAAAGGTGGGGGGGCTGAGGCTGACGTTGTAAGCCGGGTTGGAGATGTGGAGAGCAACCCGCTTGCTGCTGCTCCGCTTTGACCGGGTCTTGTGGTGCCGGTTATGGTGGCGGTGCTGCTGGCGGGGTTCGTCCGGAGGGCTGGTGGTATGGCTGTGGTGGCGGCCTCCGCATGTCAGAGAGGGTACAGCAACAGGGTCAGAGGTCACAGCAGGGTTAAAGGTCACCGCAGGGTCAGTTGGGTCGATGCTGTCTAGACAGGAAGTAGAGACGGTCTGGGGTTTCCCTGTCTGGGGGCATGGAGAGGCCGACTCCAACAGGTCTTTAGTTCCCTGTGTGCATTGGGTGGAAGGAGAGCGAGCGAGAGAGAGCGAGCGGCAGAGAGAGCGAGCGAGAGAGAGGCAGAGCGAGCAAGAGAGAAAGAGGCAGAGCGAGCAAGATAAGATAAAGGGGAAGACAGAAAAGCAAAGAATAAGACATCATTGGAGGAGTTGGAAAAAAGACTGAGAAACAGCTGAGCAGAAAATGACAGAAGCAACAAACAGAAATAAGAAAGCAATATTTAAGAGAAATAAATCCCCCCAGGGAGAGGACAGGTCCCTCAGACAGCTATGCAGAGCAAAGCTATGGGTCAAAAGGTCATTATAGTGGTGCAAGAAGGACATGCAGGTATTCTGATGATGATTGGTAGCCGACAGTCGCTTTGGTGAGGGGTAACCATGCAGATGAGGATGAAATGTTACTTGGAGTCACAAAGTAACAGTGCTGTTGTATCAATCCAGCCATGGTATTCCCACAGTACCAGAGATCACGTCAAATTCTCGTTTGAGAGTCAGGTAAGATTCCTTAACGGCTGGAGACGAGGCGATTGCCTTGAAGAAAAAGTCCTTTGAGGGGTTTATTCTCACTTGCAAAAATGACAGATCAATGAAAGTTACTTGAAAGATGAAGTAACAAAGGCCAACAAAAGCCACCAGAGCATAAACATTGTACTGTGGAGATGATTGCATGTCTGACTGGTTGAGTAGAGAAGACAGAGATGCTTTTACGATGTTATGTAAAGAACTGGCGTAGCTGTCAGCACACATTTAACACATTCAGAACCTGCCCACCAAGGGGAATTTAGAAGGGTTTAGGGTTTGCATTTTCTCCTCAGGAACAATTCTGTCAAGCCATTTATGCTTCGAAAGAGAAAAGAAATAAGCAGGTGTGAAGACTGACTCGCTGTAAGCGATTAAGTCTACTGCATGAACATGTTATTTTGATCATTGTCTGGTGTGCTCCAAAAGTACATTTTTGGTTGTTTTGGCTCTATACTCCAGCACTGGATTTGAAATTATACAATGACTGGGAGGTTAAAGTGCAGACTGTCAGCTTTCATTTGAGGGTATTTTCAGCCATATCGGGTGACCCATTTAGAAATTACAGCACTTTTTGTACATAGATAGTACACCCATTTTAGGGGACCAAATGTTTTGGGACAAATTCAATTGTTAATAAGAATAGAATGTTTCTAAACACTTCTACATTAATGTGGACGCTTCCATGATTAAAGATAGTCCTGAATGAATTGTGAATAATGATGAGTGAGAAAGTTACAGATATCACACAAATATCATACCCCCAAGACATGCTAACCTTTCACCATTACAATAACAGGGGAGGGGGATGATACTTGTGTGTCTAACTTTCTCACTCATTATTCACAATTCATTCAGGACTACCCATAATCATGGTAGCATCCACATTAATGTTAAAGTGTTTAGAAACATATTCTACTGTTATTTATTATAAAAGTTACTCAAATGACAATACATTATTTACCATTCATTTCTATTGGCCACAAAGTTATCTGAAACACAACCAAAACAAAAAGCAAATGCATCCAACATGTTTGTAGAGTCACAAGCTTGATGTAATCATTGCGTGCTAGGAATATGGGAACAAATACTAAACTTTTGACTGCTTTAATACACAAGTGAATTTGTCCCAATACTTTGGTCCCCTAAAATGGGGGTACTATGTGCATAAAGTGCTGTAATTACTAAACGGTTCACCCGATATGGATGAAAATAACCTCAAATTAAAGCTGACAGTCTGCACTTTAACCCCAGTCATTGTATCATTTCAAATCCAAAGTGCTGGAGCATAGAGCCAAATCAACAATTTCACTGTCCCAATACTTTGAGCTCAGTGGATCTGTGCATTTAAGCATGCATGAGTGTATCTGCACGGGCATAGCTGACAAGAAAACAATACAAATATAGCAATTAAAGTACAACAAATGTACCATTATCCTTTCCTCAGTTTTTGAGCGTCTGATATTGCAAATCTCACAAGTCTGGAGCTTGAGTTTGTGTGTGATGGGATACAGCCTGACGTGGTAGGAATCAGACGTGGTAAAGGAAGAAGCATAGCAGCACTGTGAAAGAAGCCAGCCAGGCAGGCAGCAAGAAAAGCAGACAGCAACCAGCCACAGAGAGGGCCCCCTAGAAATTTCAAATAAGTGAATTGACATTAAAATTCACTTCCTCAATTGACCCAGATGCAGACACAGTAGCCACAGAGATGGATAAGGCCAGCCAAACACCCTGCACTGCACTCTACCTGGGGTCATCTCACCAACCTGTCTGTCTCCACAAACCTGGCTCATCAGCCAGCACAGGACACAGCAAAGTCCAGACAGTTATCCTCCTAGTGGTGGGTGGTGATGGGACATCCAGTACACACACAAGTACAGAGAGACACATTACCAGCTGACACTATGGAATACGTACACAGGGGTAAGACTTAGTGACAATGACTACATAGGGACTGTTCACACATTTATGATTATGCTACATCTTTTTTTTTTTATGCATGTCTATTGAGAACTCATTTGGAAATAAATGTGTTTATTTTCTTTTAAAATGCAATATATTTAATACTGTACAAATGCAATATATTTAATACTGTACATTTCAGATGGACATAATAATCCAAAATGACAAATATTTAAAATGCCAAAATAAACAAAGACAAACAATATATATAAAATATAAAAAAGCATAAGAAAACAGTAAGAGGGAGATGATTTTGACTTGAGGGCGGCAGGTACCCTAGTAGTTAAGAGCATTGGGCCAGCGTTGGAGTCGCTGGTTCGAATCCCCTTGACCAAGTCACTGAACCCCATTTGCTCCTGTAAGTCGCTCTGGATAAGAGCGTCTGCTAAATGACTAAAATGTAAAAATGTAGGTAGCTTGTGTGTTATGACACAGATAACAACCTCCTGAGTGGCGCAGTGGTCTAAGGCACTGCATCGCAGTGCTAGCAGTGCCACTAGAGATCCGCGACCGGGAGACCAATGGGGCGGCGCACAATTGGCCCAGCGTAGTCCAGGGTAGGGGAGGGAATGGCCGGCAGGGATGTAGCTCAGTTGGTAGAGCATAGCGTTTGCAACGCCAGGTTGTGGGTTCAATTCCCACGGGGGGCCAGTATGAAAAAATAAAATACAAATATGCACTAACTGTAAGTCTCTCTGGATAAGAGCGTCTGCTAAATGACTAAAATGTAAATGTAATAACAGACTCACGTCAGAGACAAATATTAAATACAGACGACAACAAGAACATTGAGGAAAGCCAAATGAGTGTGTTCAATATCTGTAAATTCCATGTGCATCAATCTGTAAATTCCATGTGCATCAATAAAACATTTCCCCCACTATTTCAGCTGACCAGATTGTTTCCAGATTGAGACAAATTAAAACAGCACTTGGGTACAGATATGTGTTTGTGACAGGTACATTTCCAGCAGTAACCACTTCCATTACCAGCATGTGTTTGCTAAAAGTATAAATTCTGAACTAATACTGTACATGGTCTAACTTCTTCTGTGCAAAAATATACATAATATGCAAACTTCCAGCAGACAATATTGAGCCCTTGTATCCTTAAAGTAAAAGGTTAGGTTAGCTTGTCCCTATATTGCTTGAGTGTAAACAGAAGAAAGGCCTGTTGGTTTGGAAGAAGCAAACAGTGGAGAGTGCCACTGCTGTCAGACTGAACTAAATAGCCCAATGGCAGTCACACTTTGTAAACCAACATGTTTTAATAAACTCCTAGCACCTAAGTTTTCTCAACCTCAAAAACAACAACAGCAAAGCCTCTAACCCAGCTAGGAAGTGGATGAATCATCTATAGGCTATGTTCCCCTTTTCACTGAAATGAAAAGACATAAATAACACTGAGTTGCCTGGTTATGACGTTAAGACGTTGAGCTACACCCAGGTCAAACATGGCCTAGCATCCGGTTTCACTTCCTCGTCTTTTACTGTCAGCTGTAAACGATGAACAGTCTGGTGTAGACTAGGCTACCAGGACCAGGCAACACCATATGTAATGACCAAAACAACAGTGGGGAGTAGGGAGAAACCCAGGTGTCCTTTGTTGTTTTTACTGAAATCACCAGCTGTAATGTCCTGAATACCAGATCCTGACCAATAGTAATAAAGTACACTGGTATGTACTGGATCCTGACCCACAGTAATATAGTACACTGGTCTGTACTGGATCCTGACCAATAGTAATACAGTACACTGGTCTGTACTGGATCCTGACCCACAGTAATACAGTACACTGGTCTGTACTGGATCCTGACCCACAGTAATACAGTACACTGGTCTGTACTGGATCCTGACCAATAGTTAAACAGTACACTGGTATGTGGGACTGTCATGAGAGGGTGACCCCATACACAACAGCCAGTCAGCAAACAGTCAAAGGGGGTTGGGTTAGAACAGGCAACTAAACTGGGGTCTGCCAGTCAGGCTGAGGGGGGTTGGGGGTTGCAGGTAAAGGGGAGGGGGGCAGCTGTGACGGCGTGGGCCCTCCTACCACGTTTATCTCGTTCTTAGCAGCCAGCATGGGCAGCTCTATCTCCGTGGCAACTGTCTGGGATGACTCCTCCACCGGTACGAAGCCTCGCCTGTCAATCAAACTGACACGGGACAACATGGAGGAAACAGGTTAGTCAGAAAGGTTAGGCTTCAGGGTTAGGGTCAATTCAGTTTCCTGTTTAGTCAATTCAAGGAGTGGATAGAAATTAAATTCATGCTTTGGAGAAAATCCTCAGAAAACAATGGAGAGATTTTAAAAATGTACTGACTCAAACCCTATCAAATATGCATTATAAACCAGGTTGAGTCTCACCTGGGAGGCATGGGTCCACAGAGTACAGAGCAGCAGTTAGTAATGATGTTGTTATAGCTGTAGGGGTTAGCAGTGTCCTCCGCCCCACTCTTCCCCGACCACGAGCCTTTGATCTGGGAAGAAGAGAGACACACAAGATTGACCATCAGTCCTCGTCCTAGACTAGTTTTAGTTTAATTGTCAGGGACCATGCACAACAAACATGTCACCACATGTACATGCTTACTTTCCATCTGCAGGTTACTGGGAGGTTAACTTAACTGTTTAAAAGGCCCAGTGTAGTCAAAAATGTTATTTTCCTTGGTTATATATATATATATATATATATATATATATATATATATATATACACACACACACATATACACACACACACACACAGTGGGGGAAAAAAAGTATTTAGTCAGCCACCAATTGTGCAAGTTCTCCCACTTAAAAAGATGAGAGAGTCCTGTAATTTTCATCATAGGTACACGTCAACTATGACTGACAAATTGAGGGAAAAAAATCCAGAAAATTACATTGTAGGATTTTTTATGAATTTATTTGCAAATTATGGTGGAAAATAAGTATTTGGTCACCTACAAACAAGCAAGATTTCTGGCTCTCACAGACCTGTAACTTCTTCTTTAAGAGGCTCCTCTGTCCTCCACTCGTTACCTGTTTTAATGGCACCTGTTTGAACTTGTTATCAGTATAAAAGACACCTGTCCACAACCTCAAACAGTCACACTCCAAACTCCACTATGGCCAAGACCAAAGAGCTGTCAAAGGACACCAGAAACAAAATTGTAGACCTGCACCAGGCTGGGAAGACTGAATCTGCAATAGGTAAGCAGCTTGGTTTGAAGAAAATCAACTGTGGGAGCAATTATTAGGAAATGGAAGACATACAAGACCACTGATAATCTCCCTCGATCTGGGGCTCCATGCAAGATCTCACCCTGTGGGGTCAAAATGATCACAAGAACGGTGAGCAAAAATCCCAGAACCACACGGGGGGACCTAGTGAATGACCTGCAGAGAGCTGGGACCAAAGTAACAAAGCCTACCATCAGTAACACACTACGCCGCCAGGGACTCAAATCCTGCAGTGCCAGACGTGTCCCCCTGCTTAAGCCAGTACATGTCCAGGCCCGTCTGAAGTTTGCTAGAGTGCATTTGGATGATCCAGAAGAGGATTGGGAGAATGTCATATGGTCAGATGAAACCAAAATAGAACTTTTTGGTAAAAACTCAACTCGTCGTGTTTGGAGGACAAAGAATGCTGAGTTGCATCCAAAGAACACCATACCTACTGTGAAGCATGGGGTGGAAACATCATGCTTTGGGGCTGTTTTTCTGCAAAGGGACCAGGACGACTGATCCGTGTAAAGGAAAGAATGAATGGGGCCATGTATCGTGAGATTTTGAGTGAAAACCTCCTTCCATCAGCAAGGGCATTGAAGATTAAACGTGGCTGGGTCTTTCAGCATGACAATGATCCCAAACACACAGCACGGGCAACAAAGGAGTGGCTTCGTAAGAAGCATTTCAAGGTCCTGGAGTGGCCTAGCCAGTCTCCAGATCTCAACCCCATAGAGAATCTTTGGAGGGAGTTGAAAGTCCGTGTTGACCAGCGACAGCCCCAAAACATCACAGCTCTAGAGGAGATCTGCATGGAGGAATGACCTGTGTCATTGCCAACAAAGGGTATATAACAAAGTATTGAGAAACTTTTGTTATTGACCAAATACTTATTTTCCACCATAATTTGCAAATAAATTCATTAAAAATCCTACAATGTGATTTTTTTTTCTCATTTTGTCTGTCATAGTTGACGTGTACCTATGATGAAAATTACAGGCCTCTCTCATCTTTTTAAGTGGGAGAACATGCACAATTGGTGGCTGACTAAATACTTTTTTCCCCCACTGTATATATACATACATACATACATACATACATACACACACACACACACACACACACACACACACACAGAGTACCAGTCAAAAGTTTGGACACACCTACTCATTCAAGGGTTCTTTATTTTTACTATTTTCTACATTGTAGAATAATAGTGAAGACATCAAAACTATGAAATAACATACAGAATCATGTAGTAACCAAAAGTGTTAAACCAGGGGTGTCAAACTCATTTTAGCTCAGGGGCCACATGGAGGAAAATCTATTCCCAAGTGGGCCGGACAGGAAAAATCATGGTATATATATATAACTTAAAAACAACAGCTTCAGATTGTTTTCTTTGTTTTAATACGATCAACATACAACATAAAGCTGGAGCCTGAGGACAGTGTGTCCAAAATAGTACAAGCACAACATCACTATTAATCATAAAACACGTCAAGTTTATTTGAAAATTCTAAAGAAAAAGAACAAACACACAATGCCTCAGTGATTAACAGAACTGTTTCACAGATCACAGAACTATATCAGGGGGTCATTTCTCAGGCAGAAATGTAGATAAAAAGAATGAAATCCTGTTCCCCAAACAAGTGCAAGAACCACAGAGTCAAGAATAGGTTAAATATACAAATAAAATAAAATAAATTAAAAACAATAGCACATCAACATAAAAACATATAAACATAAAGCTGGAGCCTGAGGACAGTGTGTCCAAAAGCACAACATCACTATTAATCATAAAACACCTCAAGTTATTTGAAAGTTCTGAGGACAAAGAACACACAAACACACAATGCCTCAGTGATTCACAGAAGTATATCACAGATCACAGAACTATATCAGGGTGTCTCATGTAGCACTTTAAGTGGGGTTGCATAGTTTATTTGACTCCTGATACCTGGCATCTTTTAGCTTTCACCAGCGCATCAATATCAGGCGTCACATCCTGAGTGGCAGCCAACTTCAGGATGTGATTCAAGTGCTTGTGCGTGAGCCTTGAGCGCAGCTTTGTTTTATTTATGCTCATTACAGAGAAAACTTGCTCACAAAGATATGTGGTTCCAAATATGCACAACAGTTTTGCAGCGAGGGCTGTCAAGTTGGGGTAACCTGGCAAGAGATTCTGATTAAATGTGTCCAAGCCAGCTGCAGCAAATTTGCCCTTCAAATCCGAGTCACACTGCAAGTCTATTTCAAGTTGGATGCTGACGGGCAGATCAAAGGGATTCACGGTGAATGGCGAGCAAAAAACGTTGAAGTCTTTCTCCAGTTCACCAAAAATCTGAAAGCGTTGCTCAAACTCCCGTAACAGTCCCGTTATTTTATCTTTGAACCGCTTCATGTCTGCCACATGTTGGGTCGCGCACACATTTTTCAGACAGGGGAAGTGAGCTGCATCACCACCGGCAAGTTGCGTCTCCCACAATGACAGCTTCAACTTGAAAGAACGTATGCTGTCATAATACTGCGTGACAACTTTGTTGCGCCCTTGCAGCTGTTTGTTCAAGTTATTCACGTGCTCTGTAACATCCACCATAAATGCAAGGTCCTGCATCCATTCTGCGGAATGGAATTCTAACACTGGTTTGCCCTTTTCTTCCATGAACTGTTCAATTTCTTCTCGTAAATCAAAGAAACGCCTCAGCACCTCGGCTTAACCATCTTACCTCAGTGTGGTATGGCAGGCCATATATGTGGTCTTTCTCTCTGAGAAGGCTGTCAAACTGACGGTGATTCAGGCTTCTGGGTCGGATGAAATTAACAGTTTGGATGACCACCTTCATGACGTTATCCATCTTTAATGACTTGCAACACAAAGCCTCCTGGTGCAAAATACAGTGAAAAGTCAAAAAATCACATCCTCCATTTGCAGATTGCACTTTCTCTCTGAACTTTGTCACAACGCCTGCTTTTTTCCCGATCATTGAGGGCGCACCATCTGTAGCCAGGCTGACAGCGCGGGACCAGTCCACTCCGACCCTGTCCAGCACGCCGACGAGTGCGGTAAAAATATCAGCTGCTGTCGTTGTATCTGTCATCGGCACCAACTCCACGAACTCCTCGGTGACGGTCAATGTGTCATCAACTCCGCGGATGAAAATGGCCAGTTGTGCAACATCTGTAATGTCCGTGCTTTCATCAATTGCAACCGAAAACGCAATAAATGACTTTACTTTTTGCTTCAACTGGCTGTCCAAATCCACTGAAAGATCGGAAATTATGTCTGCAACTGTGTTTCTTGTCAGGCTGATATTTACAAAAGCCTGACGCTTTTCAGGGCACACAATCTCCGCTGCCTTCATCATGCATGTTTTTACAAATTCACCCTCACTAAATGGTTTTGAAGCCACTGCGATTTCATTAGCAATGAGGTAGCTAGCTTTCACTGCAGCGTCACTGATGTCTCGGCTGTGAGTAAACACAGACTTTACCTACTTGCTCTGCCCCGGTATAAACAGTTTGCTTGCTTAACACAATTGCTATTGCGCCATCCAGTGGACGCAATTGGAACAGCAGTTTATTTTATTGAAAAATTGCAGCGCATTTTTATACTTTACAAAATCATCTCGCGGGCCGGATTAAACCCGTTTGCGGGCCTGATCCTGCCCGCGGGCCGGACGTTTGACACCCCTGTGTTAAACAAATCAAAAAATATTTGATATTTCAGATTCTTCAAATAGCCACCCTTTGCCTTGATGACAGCTTTGCACACTGTTGGCATTCTCTCAACCAGCTTCACCTGGAATGTTCACCTGGAATGCTTTTCCAACAGCCTTGAAGGAGTTCCCACATGCTGAGCACTTGTTGGCTGCTTTTCCTTCACTCTGCCGTCCGACTCATCCCAAAGCAATAACACCTCCTCCTCCATACTTTATGGTGGGAACTACACATGCAGAGATCATCCGTTCACCCATACCGCGTCTCACAAAGACATGGCGGTTGGAACCAAAAATCTCAAATTTGGACTCCAGACCAAAGGACACATTTCCACCGGTCTAATGTCCATTGCTCGGGTTTCTTGGCTCAAGCAGGTCTCTTCTTCTTATTGGTGTCCTTTAGCAGTGGTTTCGTTGCAGCAATTCGACCATGAAGGCCTGATTCACACAGTCCCCTCTGAACAGTTGATGTTGAGATGTGTCTGTTACTTGAACTCGGTGAAGCATTTATTTGGGCTGCAATTTCTGAGGCTGGTAACTCTTATGAACTTATCCTCTGCAGCAGAGGTAACACTGGGTCTTCCATTCCTGTGGCGGTCCTCATGAGAGCCAGTTTCATCATAGCACTTGATGGTTTTTGCGACTGCACTTGAAGAAACTTTCAAAGTTCTTGAAATGTTCTGTATTGACTGACCTTCATGTCTTAAAGTAATGATGGACTGTCGTTTCTCTTTTACCAAATAGGGCTATATTCTCTATACCCCCCTACCTTGTCACAACACAACTGATTGGCTCAAACAAATTAAGGAGGAAAGAAATTCCACAATTAACTTTTAAGGCGGCACACCTGTTAATTGAAATGCATTCCAGGTGACTACCTCATGAAGCTGGTTGAGAGAATGCCAAGAGTGTGCAAAGCTGTCATCAAGGCAAAGGGTGGCTATTTGAAGAATCTCAAATATAAAATATATTTTGATTTGTTTAACACTTTTTTGGTTACTACATGATTCCATATGTGTTATTTCATAGTTTTGATGTATTCACTATTATTCTACAATGTAGAAAATAGTAAAAATAAAGAAATACCCTGGAATGAGTAGGTGTGTCCAAACTTGACTGTGTCTGTCTGTCTCTATATATAGAGAGAGAGGCTCAGAGGAAGAGGAAGACCATCCTCCTCAGTGAATTTATTAAAAATAATGAAACCTTTAAAAACGTATCCTTTTTAGATAAAACTATACTAAATATATTCACGTCACCAAATAATTGATTAAAACACACTGTTTTGCAATGAAGGTCTACAGTAGCGTGACCAGCACTCTGAAGGGTAGCACCACGGTGTAGCCGGAGGACAGCTAGCTCCGTCCTCCTCTGGATACATTGACTTCAATACAAAACCTAGGAGGCTCATGGTTCTCACCCTCTCCCATAGACTTACACAGTAATTATGACAACTTCCGGAGGACATCCTCCAACCCATCAGAGCTCTTGCAGCATGAACTGACATGTCCACCCAATCAAAGGCTCAGAGAATGAATCTAGTACTGAAAGCATAAGCTACAGCTAGATAACACTGCAGTGCATAACTTGTGGTGAGTAGTTGACTCAAAGAGAGAGAAAGACAATAGTTGAACAAATTAATTTCCTCATAAATGGAGGAGCAAAAGAGCTATATTAGAAAATATGTTTTTAAAAACAATTCACTTTCATTTACTTAGGTAGCAAATGCAGCTAGCTACTTTAGCCTACTCACACACCCGGCTCAAACAGAGAGGGATGCTATGTTAGCTAGCTGGCTATGACTATCCAACACTGGAACTCTTCCAAGTCAAGGTAAGCTTTTGGTTTTACTAATTTGGTGCAACTGTTAATTGCTTACTGACTGTACTGCATGATTGTAGCGGGTTTACTAACGAGTTAGTTATATTAGCTATGTTGACTATGATGTTACTTTAGCTAATATGGTGACAACGATGTAAGCTGTGTGTAGCTGTTATGATATGAAGGTTTGGTTTGGAAAGGTTTTTTCGCCTGGTCACAGACAGCTGATGTGTTGTGCACTGAAGTCCAGAAGCGAAGGGAAAAGGTGAGGGGAGCGCGTTGATGCGAGAAGGAATACAACGAGCGGTTTATATTTGGCTGTTTGCGGCAGGTAGCTTAGTGGTTAAGAGCGTTGTGCCAGTAACCGAAAGGTCGCTGGTTCTAATCCCCGACTAGGTGAAAAATCTGTCGATGTGCCCTTGAGCAAGGTACTTAACCCTAATTGCTCCTGTAAGTTGCTCTGGATAAGAGCATCTGCTAAATGACTAAAATGTAAAAGTATGATCAGGGGTGTATTCATTCCACCGATTGTGTTGAAAAACATTTCTTATATGGAAGCAAATGGAACAGGGATAAACATACCTGAATTTGTCCAATAGAAACTCATTTGCAACTGTTGGACTATTGATTACACCCTAGATCAGCTAGATGCAGGCAAGAGTGTGCAAGGCGGTATTGAATGTGTCACTGTCTGTCCATGTTTCACTGTGTCACCTCAAATCTTTCTCTCGACCTGTGTGCACCTACGTTGTAAACTTTCATTCATAGGCTAGGTTGTAGCAACCTCGTGATGGATATAGGGAAAATTTGAGTATCACGTAGTAGCCTAAATCTATCGATGTTACATTGAACTGGATGAATTGAATATGAATGACAGTCATCCAATATGCTGTAATAGAAATAAGACCATGCTCATAAAAAATAAAGAAATCCTCCCTCATCTTAAACGGCACCAACCGCCACTGATACGTATGTACAGTGAGGGAAAAAAGTATTTGATCCCCTGCTGATTTTGTACGTTTGCCCACTGACAAAGACATGATCAGTCTATAATTTTAATGGTAGGTTTATTTGAACAGTGAGAGACAGAATAACAACAAATAAATCCAGAAAAACACGTCAAGAATGTTATAAATTGATTTCCATTTTAATGAGGGAAATAATTATTTGACCCCTCTGCAAAACATGACTTAGTACTTGGCGGCAAAACCCTTGTTGGCAATCACAGATGTCAGATGTTTCTTGTAGTTGGCCACCAGGTTTGCACACATCTCAGGAGGGATTTTGTCCCACTCCTCTTTGCCGATCTTCTCCAAGTCATTAAGGTTTCGAGCCTGACGTTTGGCAACTCGAAACTTCAGCTCCCTCCACAGATTTTCTATGGGATTAAGGTCTGGAGACTGGCTAGGCCACTCCAGGACCTTTATGTGCTTCTTCTTGAGCCACTCCTTTGTTTCCTTGGCCGTGTGTTATGGGTCATTGTCATGCTGGAATACCCATCCACGACCCATTTTCAATGCCCTGGCTGAGGGAAGGAGGTTCTCACCCAAGATTTGATGGTACATGGCCCCGTCCATCGTCCCTTTGATGCGGTGAAGTTGTCCTGTCCCCTTAGCAGAAAAACACCCCCAAAGCATAAATGTTTCCACCTCCATGGTTGACGGTGGGGATGATGTTCTTGGGGTCATAGGCAGCATTCCTCCTCCAAACACGGCGAGTTGAGTTGATGCCAAAAAAGCTCGATTTTGGTCTCATCTGACCACAACACTTTCAGCCAGTTCTCCTCTGAATCATTCAGATGTTCATTGGCAAACTTCAGACGGGCCTGTATATGTGCTTTCTTGAGCAGGGGGACCTTGCGGGCACTGCAGGATTTCAGTCCTTCACGGCGTAGTGTGTTACCAATTGTTTTCTTGGTGACCATGGTCCCAGCTGCCTTGAGATCATTGACAAGATTATCCCGTGTAGTTCTGGGCTGATTCCTCACCGTTCTCATGATCATTGCAACTCCACGAGGTGAGATCTTGCATTGAGCCCCAGGCCGAGGGAGATTGACAGTTATTTTGTGTTTCTTCCATTTGTGAATAATCGCACAAACTGTTGTCACCTTCTCACCAAGCTGCTTGGCAATGGTCTTGTAGCCCATTCCAGCCTTGTGTAGGTCTACAATCTTGTCCCTGACATCCTTGGAGAGCTCTTTGGTCTTGGCCATGGTGGAGAGTTTGGAATCTGATTTATTGATCGCTTCTGTGGACAGGTGTCTTTTATACAGGTAACAAGCGGAGATTAGGAGCACTCCCTTTAAGAGTGTGCTCCTAATCTCAGCTCGTTACCTGTATAAAAGACACCTGGGAGCCAGAAATCTTTCTGATTGAGAGGGGGTCAAATACTTATTTCCCTAATTAAAATGCAAATCAATTTATAAAAATTTTGACATGCGTTTTTCTGGATTTTTTTGTTGTTATTCTGTCTCTCACTGTTCAAATAAACCTACCATTAAAATTATAGACTGATCATTTCTTTGTCAGTGGGCAAACGTACAAAATCAGCAGAGGATCAAATACTTTTTTCCCCTCACTGTATGTACGTACATACATACATACATACATACGTAGGTAGACACACATTTTCCACACTATAAGGTTAGAATAATGCTATGATTGTGAAAATTATGATAATGCCCTTTTAGTGAAATGTTTGCCTGTTTTGGTGGGATGGAGTTTTGGCCTTCCATGGTGACACAACCATGCAGTAAATTAGTTAATAGACCAATAAGAAAGAGTTCCAAACCTCTCTGCCAATAAGAGCCAATTTTCCGTTTACCCCCCCCCACTCAGACCACTCCCAGACAGTCCTAGATAAATTCTTGCTTGAGGAATTGTGCTTCGCTAAGAAGCTATGTGTCTTTTTGACCATTTTAATTTAAAACAATCACAGTAAGAAATGATGTGATATTGAGATAAAAACAGCTGCATTGAACCTTTAAAGTATATAACATCTATAGGTTTATCACACATATCCCAGAGGTGACAGACATCACACTCCTTGGCATTTACTCACATCTTCATTTGTGGTCAGGTTAGAAGCAACCAGGTAGGTATGGAAGCCTGAGAGGCCCAAGATCGACCAAACTGAAAAGAAGCAAATCACCAGCTCCACAGCAGTGCAGGAAGAAAAGTCAAGGACAACATTTATGGTTTGAGTATCTAAATATCACCAGAGACGTCAGCTGGACAGAGACTCATTCTTATTCTGCAATACAGCCAAGAAGCTAAAGTGAATGACAGTTTAGGTGCCCTAACACCACACTACGCGAGGCAGGGAGTGGTATTATGAGGGGATCTGATAGGTTAACCTAGACACACAGAGTCTTGGTAAAAGGATATCTGGCTGGATTCTCCTGAAGAGCAAACATCAGGCCTCTCCCTCCTTGTGCCCCTGAGGACAGAACAATTTAAGATTGTTACAGAAAACCATGACTATCATGACAGGATGATATCAGGATACACTCAACAGTTCCGTAATTATCACAAGCCAGGGCAGTGGCCAGATGTATCTGCTGTGTAGACTACGTACTCAGTGCTAGATGTGTAGCGACGCAGCCGAAGATGAAGGCTGTCAGGAAGGACAGAGAGACGATGAAGGTGTAGAAGAAACGATAGTTCCTCTTCCCAACACAATTCCCCACCCAGGGACAATGGTGGTCGAATCGCTCTGGAGGACAGGAAGCGAGATAGGGGGAAGAAGAGAGCAATAGGGGGAAGGAGAGAGCGATAGGGGGAAGGAGAGAGCAATAGGGCAAAGAACATCTCATTGACATTGAGGCCAAGATCTCAAGCGCCTTTCAATAGGAAAATACATTTGAATGAAATGTAGAAAAAAAGTCTCACATTTTAAGAGGCCCTGCTTTCAGAGTTGATCAGCATCTTTATGGAGGAGAACACTAATACATCCTCTTTATAAGACCGATAGACTGTTCAACAAAACAACCTCAGTAACAGGCTGTGTAGTAGTCTAAATAATTCAGTCTAATAAATGTCAGTGTGTTGACCCCCCCCCGTCTGTGTTCCATGTTGAACGCCCCCCTCTGTCACCAGTCCTTACCCACACAGTTGTCACAAAGGGAGCAGTGGGAGGTGCGCGGTGGCCGGAAGATCTTGCAGGTGAAACAGTACTTGAGCTTCACTACCTGCTCGTTGATCATCACCTCCTTGGTGCGGGGAGGGGGTCGGTAGGTAGAAGAGCCAGAGTTATCTGAGGAGGAGAAAGACAGGGAGGACATATCAAGAGACATAGTACACAAGGTGTGTGTGTATTAATATCCTTGTGGGTACTGTAAATCCCCAAAAGGATAGTAAAACAAAGAAAATTATTCTATTTTAGGCTTAGGGGTTAGGTTTAGGGTTAGGTAAAATAGGATTTTTAATGGAAATTCATTTTAGGTCCCCACAAGGATAGTAAAACCTTGCGCGTGTGTGTGCACGCGTGTGTCCATGTTGTGATCCAGGCAGTGGCGTTAGGCCTAATTGCTGGCGGAGTGGTGTACATTAAGGCGGAGTCACGGGGGAGGCAGTCAATCAACACAGGCTCTGTGTAATGTATGAAAGTGTACTGCCTGCCTAGCAGTCCCATGGGCTGCGTTTAGACTGGCAATCCAATTCTGATCTTTTTTGACCGATCAGATCAGCTCTTTTGCCAATAATTAGGCAAAACATCAGAATTGGGCTGCATGTGGAAACGCAGCCATAGTAGCAGAAGGTTTCAGATTAGTGGTGATTTGATGTATTAATAGACTGGCTCGATCACTCCATGGCATGAGATCATTCACAGTAAAGTGTAAGGTACTCTACAGAGAACAACTTTGTGTCACAATGTTTGATAGACTGCTGAATATTAGGCAGCTAGTCAGAACTAAGTATGATACCCTTGATAAGAACTTTCTGGATGTATTCATCTGGTTTAGGAAAATAGGCCTAACCAGCAGATATGTAAAACATTAGGCCTAAACCATCTTGCAGATGAGAATATCATCATCACTCAAAAACGTTGTTATACTTTTGGTGCCCCCCCTCTCTCTCTCTACTCTCTGAGCTGTGTGGGGGTGTGTGTGTGTGTGTGTGTGTCAGTGGCGTGTATTCATGGACACCAAGGGAAGCCAGGTCCCCATACACACACACACACACACACACACACACACACGGTCAAAAGTTTTAGAACACCTACTCATTCAAGGGTTTGTCTTTATTTTTACTATTTTCTACATTGTAGAATAATAGTGAAGACATCACAACTATGAAATAACACATATGGAATCATGAAGTAACCAAAAAGTGTTAAACAAAATCAAAATATATTTTATATTCTTCAAATAGCCACCCTTTGCCTTGATGACAACTTTGCACTCTTGGCATTCTCTCAACCAGCTTCACCTGGAATGCTTTTCCAACAGACAGAAGGAGTTCCCACATATGCTGAGCACTTGTTGGCTGCTTTTCTTTCACTCTGAGGTTCGACTCCTCCCAAACCATCTCAAATTGGTTGAGGTCAGGGGATTGTGGAGGCCAGGTCATCTGATGCAGCACTCCATCACTTCTTCTTGGTAAAATAGTCCTTACACAGCCTGGAGGTGTGTTGGGTCATTGTCCTGTTGAAAAAGAAATGATAGTCCCACTAAGCCCAAACCAGATGGGATGGCATATCGCTGCGGTAGCCATGCTGGTTAAGTGTGCCTTGAATTCTAAATAAATCACAGACAGTGTCACCAGCTAAGCACCCCCACAAAATAACACCTCCTCCTCCATGCTTTACGGTGGGAAATACACATGCGGAGATCATCCGTTCACCCACACCGCATCTCACAAAGACACAGCGGTTGGAACCAAAAAAAATCTCAATTTGGACTCGAGACCAAAGGACAAATTTCCACCGGTCTAATGTCCATTGCTCATGTTTCTTGGCCCAAGCAAGTCTCTTCTTATTGGTGTCCTTTAGTAGTGGTTTCTTTGCAGCAATTCGACCATGAAAGCCTGATTCACACAGTCCCCTCTGAACAGTTGATGTTGAGATGTGTCTGTTACTTGAACTCGGTGAAGCATTTATTTGGGCTGCAATTTCTGAGGCTGGTAACTCTTATGAACTTATCCTCTGCAGCAGAGGTAACACTGGGTCTTCCATTCCTGTGGCGGTCCTCATGAGAGCCAGTTTCATCATAGCACTTGATGGTTTTTCGACTGCACTTGAAGAAACTTTCAAAGTTCTTGAAATGTTCCGGATTGACTGACCTTCATGTCTTAAAGTAATGATGGACTGTCGTTTCTGTTTGCTTATTTGAGCTGTTCTTTCCATAACATGGACATGGTATTTTACCAAATAGGGCTATCTTCTGTATACCCCCCTACCTTGTCACAACACAACTGATTGGCTCAAACGCATTAAGAAGGAAAGAAATTCCACAAATTAACTTTTAAGAAGGCACACCTGTTAATTGAAATGCATTCCAGGTGACTACCTCATGAAGCTGGTTGAGAGAATGCCAAGCTGTCATCAAGGCAAAGGGTGGCTATTTGAAGAATCTCAAATATAAAATATATTGATTTGTTTAACACTTTTTTTGGTTACTACTTGATTCCATGTGTTATTTCATAGTTTTGATGTCTTCACTATTATTCTACAATGTAGAAAATAGTAAAAATAAAGAAAAACCCTTGAATGAGTAGGTGTTCTGAAACCTTTGACCGGTAGTGTGTATATACAGTGGGGGGAAAAAGTATTTAGTCAGCCACCAATTGTGCAAGTTCTCCCACTTAAAAAGATGAGGCCTGTAATTTTCATCATAGGTACACGTCAACTATGACAGACAAATTGAGAATTTTATTTCTCCAGAAAATCACATTGTAGGATTTTTTATTTATTTATTTGCAAATGATGGTGGAAAATAAGTATTTGGTCACCTACAAACAAGCAAGATTTCTGGCTCTCACAGACCTGTAACTTCTTCTTTAAGAGGCTCCTCTGTCCTCCACTCGTTACCTGTATTAATGGCACCTGTTTGAAATTGTTATCAGTATAAAAGACTTGTCCACAACCTCAAACAGTCACACTCCAAACTCCACTATGGCCAAGACCAAAGAGCTGTCAAAGGACACCAGAAACAAAATTGTAGACCTGCACCAGGCTGGGAAGACTGAATCTGCAATAGGTAAGCAGCTTGGTTTGAAGAAATCAACTGTGGGAGCAATTATTAGGAAATGGAAGACATACAAGACCACTGATAATGTCCCTCGATCTGGGGCTCCACGCAAGATCTCACCCCGTGGGGTCAAAATGATCACAAGAACGGTGAGCAAAAATCCCAGAACCACACGGGGGGACCTAGTGAATGACATGCAGAGAGCTGGGACCAAAGTAACAAAGCCTACCATCAGTAACACACTACGCCACCAGGGACTCAAATCCTGCAGTGCCAGACGTGTCCCCCTGCTTAAGCCAGTACATGTCCAGGCCCGTCTGAAGTTTGCTAGAGTGCATTTGGATGATCCAGAAGAGGATTGGGAGAATGTCATATGGTCAGATGAAACCAAAATATAACTTTTTGGTAAAAACTCAACTCGTCGTGTTTGGAGGACAAAGAATGCTGAGTTGCATCCAAATAACACCATACCTACTGTGAAGCATGGGGGTGGAAACATCATGCTTTGGAACTGTTTTTCTGCAACAGGACCAGGCCGACTGATCCGTGTAAAGGAAAGAATGAATGGGGCCATGTATCGTGAGATTTTGAGTGAAAACCTCCTTCCATCAGCAAGGGCATTGAAGATGAAACGTGGCTGGGTCTTTCAACATGACAATGATCCCAAACACACCGCCCGGGTAACGAAGGAGTGGCTTTGTAAGAAGCATTTCAAGGTCCTGGAGTGGCCTAGCCAGTCTCCAGATCTCAACCCCATAGAAAATCTTTGGAGGGAATTGAAAGTCTGTGTTGCCCAGCGACAGCCACAAAACATCACTGCTCTAGAGGAGATCTGCATGGAGGAATGGGCCAAAATACCAGCAACAGTATGTGAAAACCTTGTGAAGACTTACAGAAAACATTTGACCTGTGTCCTTGCCAATAAAGGGTATATTACAAAGTATTGAGAAACTTTTGTTATTGACCAAACACTTATTTTCCACCATAATTTGCAAATTCATTAAAAATCCTACAATGTGATTTTCAGGATTTTTTTTTCTCATTTTGTCTGTCATAGTTGAGGTGTACCTAAGAAAATTAGAGGCCTTTCTCATCTTTTTAAGTGGGAGAACTTGCACAATTGGTGGCTGACTAAATACTTTTTTTCCCCCACTGTATATAAAAAAAATTTTGTCTCTCTGCGTTTCATCATTCCTGCAGTAGCTAGCTATGGATGAGATGGGGATCTAGAGTTTCTAGTTCAAAACTATTTTGTCATTTGAGCAGCAGCTGAAAATCAAGGAGAATGGGAGGCTAACTCCAAAATTGGATATTGTGCAGGGGAGAGGAGCACAGGGTGGGACCCGATCTTTCATCACTGAGAATTAGAATAGGACCGACTGGCTAGCTGGGAGTGCTAGGCTAAAGAGGCTGTTTTGCTGGCCATGCCTTCTATTTGACAAGAGCACACGATTGCGCAACAACCCTTGGGCCACCACTGGTTTTCCGATCTTGCAAACCTGGGCAGGTCCCTTGAACGACATGGAAAGTCTCATAAACACATTATGGCGAGCCTGAAACTAAAGCTCTTTGGTCGCGTCCGGATCAACAAGGCTCTCGACTGGGCCGCAGTGATCAGTGTCCAGAGGCACAATGAACAGGTGAATAAAAACAGAGCCATTCTGAAGAAACTAGTCATCGCAGTAATGTACCTGGGACATCAGGAGCAAGCCTTCAGGGGGCATGACGAGTCAGCAACAAGCCTTAAAGATAATTTTGTAGAACTTGTCAAAGCATTTGCAGAGTTCAATACTGCCATGGCTGAACACCTTGGGACAAGCACCATATTTACAGGTATGTCAAACACCATACAGAATGACATCATTCACAGCGTCGCAGACGTGATACAAAGTGAAATTGACAGTGAGATCAGTTCAGCACCCTTCATAGCAGTCGAGGTGGACACCACAGACATATCCTGCAAATGTCAATTGACAATCATAGCACGCTACGTCAATGATAAGGGTGTTATACGC